AGTCAGCTCGATCGCGTGTCGTAGACGCGCTTGCTGCAGTCTGTCCGGTTCTGCGCAGCACGGCCAACAGCAGAGCAATGTCATGATCATGACCACAAGCCAAAGCTGAATGAGTGAAATCGGGCCCCGTATGCGCTACGCGCGCGTGTGGGGTGGGTGCAGGGACATACGGTGGTCATAAACTCCAAAAAGTCGAGTAGGTGGTTGGGGTGGCCGGCAAAAAGTACAATGTATCGCTCGGGGCTGGCCTTGCGCGGTGGCTCATCCTTGAGCTCTGCGAGAGTCATGGCGAAGGTCATTGACAGCCTCATCTGACACAGCATTTCATGCAATTCAAAGAGCCAGGCACGGGCTTGCAACCCATGAACATACCTGGGTCGGTATATCCCGTGCACAGCGTTTTGAGAAAGGCGGTGCAAAGTTCCGGCAGCGCGTCCATCAAGTGCTTGCCGTATTGATCCAGCTCGCGGCAGACTGAGTTGAAGGGCAGTTTCTGGATGTATTCGAGGGCAGCCTTGTAGTCCTTGGTGTTCTCCAGCTGAATTTTCAGATACCTGGTCACGGCAATCGCAAAAGTTCAATCGGGATTGAGAAGATCGAAACTGCAGAACGTCAGACGACACACATCGGCTTGGGCACACCGAGACATGCATACCATTCGTGCTGCTTGAATTTCTCGGCCAGAAAGAGAGCTTGCTTGTAGTACTTGGCTTGACGGCACACCTGAAGCACGTGATGGAAACAATGATGACATTGTGGCAAGCAAGCCCCAAATGCGCAGTCCCAAAGAGGCCATTGGATACCAGCAACGCTTGCGCATCTCTCTTTTGGGGCGCGATAGGCTTACCGTCATGGCGGTTGTCAGGTCAAAGTTGAGTTCTTTGTCGGCCATGATAAACTCATTCAGTCGTTCTTCATTCTTGAGCTGCAATGAAAACAAGCAATGGAGAGGGCATTGGTTTATGATGACGGTGAGAGCAACCAGGGTGCATCACAACACACGGCGGAGATTGCGGCTGGGACGGATCACGGCCATTCATGCACGGACCTTGGTGTAACAATTCAGCAAAAGTGTTGTGTGGTTTTTGTCAGCCGCTTGCTTGTCGTGCAGGGCTTGGAGATAGTCGGTCAGGTTTTGGATTTGCTGCGAGTCGAGGAACCGGCGAATGACGTAGGACGGCTCGAGGGCGCCGATCGTCTTGATGTACTGGCGAACAGCATCCTCATACTTTTTTTGCGAGTAAAGTTTTTCTGTACCCAGCCAGCATTCGTTTCCATGAGTTCCACCGGTGAGCGAAGATGTATCGAGCCAGGGATACGAGCATGCGAGGCCAGCCTACCCGCATAGCGGATGTAGATGCTCATCAGCATGTCACTGATGCCTTCGCGCTCTGTCTGATAGCGTTTGGCAAGGTTGACGGCAATTTCAAAGCGAGATCGTTTGATAAGGCTACCAATCTTGGTCTCAAAGTCATGTTCCACCAGTTGGAAGAGCTATGTATCCACCGGAGTTGCAGCAGCGAGCAAGCGGGAAGGGTCAGCACGAGAGGCCCTGAAAAAAAAAAATGAAATTTGCAAGGCCCGGACATGGGTCGTCCCAATCCAACTGAGACCTCACGGCATAAGGGGGTGATGTGAATGTACCTTGCCACCATCGCAAAGGATGAAGACGGTTGACCACTCGTAGAGGACATGGTCCACGTCACGAAAGCTGTTCTCAAACGCGACAAACTTGTTGACGGGATCGCAAACAGCCACAGATTGAACTTTGCCAGCAGCTAGGCTTGAGTCCTGCGCCATCTGGTTGACGAGAATCAGGTAGTCGCGAGCGGCCAGGAGCTTTTGCTTTTGACCTGTGCGTGGCATCAAGGGCGATTCGTCAATATGATATTCGACTGCGGTGCGGACATTTTTTTTTTTTCCCTTGTGCTCTTTTTCTTTAAAAAAGCACGTGGAGCGAGGGCGCGGGCTGTCAGACGCGGTGCGGTGCGGTTACCAGGAAAAGGAAGGGAGCGAGCTTGGCCTTCGGCCATGTACATGGCCAACACCTAAGGGAAAGCAAGAAGACAAGTGAATAAACCCAATGGCTAGCGAGGTAGAGAACAGAACAGGTTGGAGAAAGTGGGCGGGACGGGTAAATTCTACCAAGGTGGGATGACAACAAATACAAAAAAATCCAAAAACAAAATCCAAATCCAAAAACCAAAACCAAAACGGTACAGCCGGACCTCATCGCGGGCAATCCAGAGGTGGCCATCGTCCATGATGGCAGAGCAGCCCAACTGAGAACCAAGGGCATCCAGAGAGTTGATGGCTTCTTGAGGTTCAAGTTGTGCGTGCACTGTCTCACCGGCAGTGGAGATGTAGAGTGCCACGCGGCGATCGCCAGCGTGTGGCACAAAGTGGAGACCCATGACGGGCTGACGGGACTGAAAGAGGGTGCGGAAACCTTTGTTGGTGGTGCGATGACGGGTATAGTCACCCTTGGCCACGAGCACCGTGCCATCTGCCAAGCCAACGGCCAGGTGGTTGAGGTCATCGCTGGCGGCAATGCAGGTGACCATGGGCTTGTCGTGGGTGATTTCGATGGTTCGGAGCTCCTGTGGAGCGCCACCCAATGGCACACGCTCGACGTTCCAGACCTTGATGATGCGAGCAATGCCCGCTTCATCCGACTAAGAAGGTGCGGGGCAAGAGGGTGGGCCAGCATACCGCGCACGTCAGTGGAAGGAAGTCTGGACCGTTGCTCGGGGTACGAGAGTAAGACAGGGAGATAGGAAGAAGTGGGTAGAACAACCAACGGTACGCACGCCAACTGTAATGACAACATTGTGGCTCTTGACTTGGGTCATCAGCTGAACAGAGTCTTCGTAAGCCTTGAAGGAGCCGAGGTCGAAGGTGCGAGTCATCACATAGACCACGCCGGTGTTGTCGCCGAACAGGAGCAAGCCCTTGCCACTCGCTGTGCAGGTCACAACCACATCCTAGATCAAAGTGGAGGAATCCAATTCCACCCCCGCCGACCGGACAAAGAGAGAAGAGCGGGGAGAGGATGAGGGAGAGAGGGAGGGAGGGAGAGCAAAAGATGACAGGGCATGATGAGTTGCACATATGCGGGCGGGTAGTGGGTGGCGCGGCTGCGGATTCAACTGCTAGAATCTTTGAGCGGCTCTTCACTGGATCGATCCGTTTGGACGCTAGTGTGATGACGCTTGAGTACAGGGTCAAGCATGACTTACAGCAAAGGGCTGGAAGGCATCATCAGTGGAGGGATCGATCACTGGCTGCTTATCAAAGAACGAGAAGCGATTCATCTATCGTGTTGCGATGGCGAATGAGTCAGCCGCGGTCGAGCGGTGCGCAAGAAATGCTATTGACCAGGCAACGACGTACTACACTCGCCATCGCGGCGGTTCATGCGCTAGCTGGGGCAACCAACTTATAACCAAAGATTTTCAAACAATGGCAACCCCGATTGCAGGGCTCCCGGCTCCTTGCAGCGCTGCGTGTCGGCTCGTCTCCGTCCGCGCCGCCGCCGTTTGGACCGGAAAAAAAATAAAATCAAGTAAGCAGCGTTCTGGAGACCAAAAGTTGTCAACAACTGTTTTCGACGATAAAAAGTCTCTGCATATGTCAGATGAAATTCCGGCGGAAATGTCAGATGAAATGAGTTGTTCATACAACTCGAATGAGTGTGATCAAGTGTGACCAGAGACTGGCAGCGACCATGCACCGTTTAGATAATGGTGCAAAATGCATTATTATTGCAGATTACAATGAGGCGTAATGGTAACCTTTTGCAGATAAATCTAGAGATAAAGTCGGTGTTGTGGGTGAGGTCGAAACCACGTCCTTTTCGAAACCGCAGATTTGTCGGAAACGTCCTCCTTCCGAGGTGCATGCGCATGGTCGCACGCGCTTGTCCCTCTGCCTGTTGTGGCTTTCAAGTTCATGAAGTAGCCCGTGACTGCAAGCTTCCCATGCCCGGCGAGCTTCTCATCGTGCCCGTCCCGTCCCCGTCGCACCCTTTTCGACTGACAATAAGCATGCTGCTGCCAATTTGGTGTTACGAGCAGAAGGGCTCTATGGGGCTCTATGGAAAACGGCAGCGGCCAGCGGACACGAATTGTTTTCATCTCATGGGCTCTTGTGTGTCTCGAAATGATGCTCGGCTGGTGTGTTTCGAGTCCATCCAGATACTCCCTGACCCTGACCCTGACCCGACCAAACCCAGCCACGCACAATCCACATGGCATCTGTCCTGTCCAGAATGATGTAACCAGGGGTTTGTGTAGGGTTGCAACAGCGTGACAGCCCCGCCCACCATGACACGCACCCCGCCTTGTCTCCTCCGCAAGCTTCACCTCACCATTTTTCTGTCAGGCTGCCGCTTGCCAAGTGCCTCTGAGTCCTGGGCACACCAAGGCTTGCCGCGCCACCCAAGCGGCCTGGTCGCGCTTGCACAGTCAGCAGCACAGCTCCTTGAGGCTGGCGGACGCCGCACAAGGCTCTGCTGGAGTCTGCCAGAGCCAAGAAGAGTCGTGCCGGCGGGATCTTTTGATGCACTCGGCATCATGAGCCAGTTCAACACTTGTGAGGGCGGCCTGGCCACCGTCGTTGATGCCCTCTACCTCATCATCATGGCCATTATGGTCTACAACATGCAGCTCGGCTTTGCCCTTCTCGAGGCCGGAACCGTCTCCATCAAGTCGACCATGGCCACGCTCTTCAAAAACATATTCGACCTCTTCATTGGCACCATCTCCTTCCTGGTTGTGGGATACGCGTTTGCTTATGGCGATGTGGGGGCTCGCTTCATTGGCGGTCGAGGTTTCTTCCTCAACGGAGTCTCCCAGTGTGACTACCCTTACTTTTTCTTCCAGGCCGCCTTTGCTGCTGCCTGCACCACCATTGTGTCCGGCGCAGTGGCTGGGCGTGCTTCCTCCGCCATGTACATTGTCTACTCTGTCGTGATCACTGGCCTTGTCTATCCCGTGGTAGTTCACTGGGTCTGGGCTGACAATGCCTGGCTCTCACAGGGCACCCACGGCCGCGGCTTTCACGACTTTGCCGGAAGCGGCGTTGTGCACGTCACCGGGGGTACCATTGCCCTGGTGGGCGCCTGGCTGCTCAAGCCTCGTCTGAGTCGGCTCGACGTCGACGGTGATTTTCGTCCGGTCCAACCACATTCCGTACCCCTCATCATCATGGGCGGCTTCATCCTGGTTGTTGGCTTTCTGGCCTTTAACGCCGGCTCCCTCATCACGCTCCAATCTGCTGATGCGGTGTCACGCCTCGGCATGATTGCCGTCAACACCATCGTTGCTGCCTCGGCAGGTGGTTTGAGTGCGACTGCGGCTGATTTTGTCGCACATGGCGAGATGTCCCTTCTCATGGCCACCAATGGCATGCTGGCCGGTTGTGTTGCCATCTGTGCTGGGGCCGACGTGGTTATGCCCTGGGCTTCACTCCTCATTGGAGGTATCGCCGGCGTGGTGTGCTTGGCCTGGTGTTACATCCTACCCAAGCTTGGCATTGACGATGCGGTTTCTGCCGCACCCGTGCACGCCGGCGCTGGCATATGGGGCCTGATTGCTGTGGCCTTTTTCAGCCGCGAAACGGGCTTGTTTTACATTGATATCAAGGACAGCTTGGAGAGTTTTGGCTGGCAGATCTTGGGCACCATTGTCATTGTCGTGTGGGCAACCGTTATGGCGTTGGTCATGTTCATTCCTCTCCGCATGCTCGGCGTGCTACGCGTTACTCGTGAGTATGAGGAACGCGGCTTGGACATTTCTTACTACGGTGGCCGTGCTTACAATGTTGAGGCTGAAACGAGTGTCCCCCTCAAGGGCACAACCATCAAGCAGGCGCTTCAGGAAGACTTTTTCAACTCGGAGGCATAGCGAGCGAGGCGTTTGAACTGCTGAGGTGCCAAGCACCATCAATAGCGATTTGCATGTGAATTGACTTCGTTTTTTTTTTTTTTCTTTTCCTGCATTCTATGCGGGTGTAGAGCGAGGCGCACATCCGGATGCATGCCCACTGTACCTCTACGCCACAGTCGTGCGAATCAAAACGGGGCAAGGCTTGCCTTGAGCCAGCCGACCCCCTCCATGAATCTTCCATAAGTAAAAAAGCGAGAAAAGAAGAAAGGAAAAGAAAAAAACAGTGCCCAACTGTTGTTTTCAACACAATCCCAAGTGACCGTTGGATGCCGATTCAAGCTCAAGCCTCACTTCATTTTTATTCATCGATACGGGCGACGGCGAGCCACGCAGAGCGGCAGTTGGGGGGGGATTTGGACTAAGCAAAAGGTGTACGTGCGGGCAAGCAATTGAGAGGCTGGTTTGGCCAGGGGATCAGTCTGTGGTGCAGGGGCTTGCCTAGCGTCCGTTGTTCGTGCGGTGCCTGATTGTGACCCTGATTGTTGACGGGAGCTCCGGCCAACACTGGGGCCAACACTGGGGTTGGCTTCAACCGAAAGGAGACGGAAGAAGCTCTGCCAAGATGGGCAAGTCTAAAGCACCTAAAACAGAGCCCACTGACGCGGAGCCGCCAACCAAAAGGTATGTTTGTGTGTTGGTGCGTGCTTGTACGTGTTGGTGCGTGCGGTTGTGTGTTTACGAGCGTGTGGTGGAGTATTGGAGACCTGGGTGGTTGGACACGTTGTTGTTGCCGTTGTTAGCTCGGCGGCTCACGGCTTGGCTGACTCAAATGGTTTGTACATCTACAATAGTGCCAAGACAGAGGCCAGTGCAGATGGCGTCAACACTGCGGTATGATGTCCTGAGACATCTGTGTCGTTGTTCCCAGCATCTTGTGTCTCCGTGTCTTTGCATCATCATTGTGACCCTGTGTCTCTTACTCGGACTATCGTGATGCCTTGTCGTGCGGGGGGTTTTTTTTTTTTTTTTTGGAATGGGCTTACGCAGTTTCCCGCAGCGCCGCTCTGGCGAATTATGCGTGGGCTCGTACCCAACATGTTGATTGCTTCGGATGCACCCATCCTCATGTCCCAGGCTCTGGTATGTGCGCCATGTTCTGGATGCGGGACTTGGTTTCCGCACTCTTGATTGCTCGCATCACCTGATCTGGGAATTTGATGCTGATCTTCTCCTTCAGGAAATGTTTGTTGAGTATTTGTCCAAAGCCGTGCACAAAGCCGAGCCGAACATGTTGATGCAGTATGATGATGTGGCCAAGGCTGTAGCAGGCGATGCCCAGCTCTCTTTCTTGCGAGGTGCGTGAGTGTCATCGTTTTCGTTTTCGGGCCTGAAGCAAGGCGCGAAGAGCTTGTGTTTGGGAGCTATGGTTGGGTTGCGTCCTAATGACCGTAATTGGTCTAGACATGATCCCGCAGCGTGTGGCTTACGGCAAGGTTGCCAAGGACTTGGCGCGACAGCGCCGCAAGGACGCCGGCTTGGTCCAACTCAAGAAGGCACTCAAGGCTGGAATGGAAAATGCTGCTCCAAAGGGCAAGGCTGACCGAAAGACCAAGAAATCTGCCGACGAAAATGATGAAGACGAGGGCGAGGATGAGGAGGATGAGGAGGATGAGGATGCGGAAGATGCGGAAGATGGTGACGATGCGGAGGATGATGAGGACGACGAGGATGGTGAGGAGGACGAGGATGGTGAGGACAACGAGGACGACGCAGCTTCTGCCTCAACGAGCGCGGCAGAAGAAGAAGAGGAAGAGGAAGAGGAAGAGGAAGAAGAAGCAGAGGATGACAATGAGGAGGACGAAGATGAACAAGGAGAAGCAAGCGGCGATTCAGACTCTGGTGACGAACTTTCATCGAGTGGTGAAGCAGGTCAAGATCAGAATTCTGACGCAGCCGAGTGACTGTACACCAAAAAGTACGGCGGTGCCGTTCAAGATGTTGTAACTCCTTCAAAATAAAATCGAATACATCTGACAAAATAATCTGACGTTTGAACAGCAGGCAGATGCATACGTAACCATTGCAGCGGAGCCCTTGAGGTGTTGCAGATGCAACAGTGAGACGAGACGCTCTGAGTTTTGGTGCACCACGTTGCAGTGTCTCTGAAACATCAGTGTAAACCCTGCAACATACTCACACAAAACATCGTAGCCTCTCTCCCCTCTCTGCCTTAAACTGCCGCTCATCACGCCCCTCTGTCTGTCCAACGCGACTGCGAATGTCAGATTTTCTTCGGCAGCGGCCGAGACGACGGTCAGTGATAAGTGTGTGTGCGTGTGTGTGTGTGTGTGTGCATCGGACTCGGGGCGCAAATGGCAGCGCCAGTGGTCCGTGGTCCGAGGGTGACCATGGCACTGGGGCACGATGAATGCACAATGTGGAGGCGCGCTCGTGTGTGTGTGTGTGTGTGTGGGTGGGTGGTAGTTGGTGGGTGGCGAGAGGTGTATTTCGTCTTGCTCATGGCAAGGCCTCCAGTGGGTCAACGTCAGCCGAGTGAGTGTGGCGACTCATCACCACCGGCCACCAGTCACAGCTCAAGCCCCACCCTTGTTCTGCATCGTGGTCCTCAGTGGGATTGACCCTGCGGCCAACGACCCACTACTCCACGATCCGATCCGGACAGAGGGTTGTTGGAGTGGCTTGTGGGTTCTTGCCCTGACAGTCCACGGTGGACGCTGGCTCGCTCCAGTTGCCATTTTCATTGACGCCGTGGACGGTGCACGCCAACACATGCGTCCCTCCGCCTCTCCTTGTTTGTATTTCTGCTTTCTGCTCTTTGATCCCGCATTTGCGCGAGTGCAAGACGAGAAACCCCTCGCCTCCAACTTGAAAACAACTTCTCGTGTCCACACTGGCGCTGTCAGCAGCGGGCCGGCTTCACCATTTATTTTGCACTCCACACACTCTTGTATTTGATGCTTTGATCTCTTCTTGACCCTGTCCTCGCTTATTGGACCGTGTTCACGCCATATAGAGACGCTCAGCGAGCAATTTCACTCTCGGATGCGTCAAGTCGTGTCACAGCACAGACTGGCTCGGCACTTTGCCAAACCCTCGCGCTCGTGCGGCGTGCAACGCCGTGCGTGTCTACCTCTGGGCCACCTCGCCAGCTCCACTGGCCTCCCTGGGTACGATGGGCCGGCATTTGTGCTATTACGCTCCCCTTCCGAGCCATTTGCTCGCACGCAACGCCTAATTCGGCTGTCACCGTAGCTTTGATGCAAACCCTTGAGGGCGTCATCGCCGACCTTCAACCAGCAGCATGCTCTCTTCCATGGCCCTCTGGGGCCTCAAAAAGGTGCATTCATTCACTGCCTGTCGTACTTTCTTTTTGATGTGCTTGTTTGTTTGTTTCTCCGTCCATCTGCCTGCCTCAGCCTTTCCTACGTCAAGCACGCCCAATGCAGTGATGACAACTCCAAGAGGCCTGGTCTCACACTCCGAGCGATTCAAACAACATTTCCA